AATATCTGGTTTTTTATTACTATGGTATACGAATAACGTGACGACTCTCGCAATTGAAAATGTCTATTTTAGTATTTTTAACTCGATACTTAATGATTGCAAATTTATCACACTTGAGGTGAGGAGAGAGTTCGTCTTCGGAGCTAGCGATTCCCAGAGGCGGTTCACGTTATAGTCAAAACGTTATTGAAACCACAATCGCAATTAAACTGGACATCTTGCAGTCTGTCTATCTACATGTTTTCTTTTGAAGTGCAATCACAAATGCTCAACTATAATCGAAAGTAATCAGGGCATCTCGCAGTCTATCTATCTACATGTTTTCTTTTAAACTGCAATACCAGGTTCTCAACCGTAACCTCAAGTAAACTGCACATACTGCGATCTGTCTGTCGACATGTTTTCTTTTGAAGTGCAATCATAAATGCTCGAGTTGCTCGAAAAATGGGCGTTAACAACGTCTCGTCTGCATCACAACAGGGCCCATCACCCCTTCGCGTACACGTTCCCTGTCGGGTGCAAACACAAACGAGTGACGCGGACTGCATTTGGTTCTCGCATCGCTTCCTCGCTCGGATAATGAGGTTGCACGTGAGCAGAAGGGCGTTGTGCGCAACAACTTTGTTCTTCCCCGAATGACATCCGATATGCCGTGGCACGAAGGCTGGAGCCAGCCTCCTCGAGCTTCGCCAGCAAGAGTGCCCCGAACTGATGGAAACGAGCTGGGGCATCTTCGTGACCCTGAAGAGAGATCACTCAGGCACCAGTCGCGCCCAGATCGACTCCGCCCTGAGCACAGCCGACGGCACCACTCGGTCGTTAGGTCTCGCAGAGTAGCCATACGCTGTTGGTTAAGTTACAGTTCGCTATGTATATTTCGTGGCTTACTGCGCTTGATAACTTTTTTCCCTTTCTTTCACTGGGAGGCGAATGTGAGCAGCTCCGACCGTCTTTACTCTCTCTCTTTTTCGAGACTCACTCACTCAGAGACGAAGCGGAGCGTGCGGGTCGTCAAGGGCGCGTGCAATCGAAGGGGGGACTATGAGAGAGGGCAGCCCCCAACCGGGCAAATGGGGGATCAAGGGGGATGGGGGGGGGTCAGATCTGTGTCTTGCTTTCCAGCGGGGGGAGACGTGGAGCACCAAGCTACCGCGCTGTGCAGGGCCGGCCCAGCAGCGGAGCGATCTTATCCAGGCAGTCGCGTTCCCGACGCGTGCTACTAGCAAGACGGAGAGGGGAGGCTGTGCCTGTTTGAAGGGTGTGTGCTGTGGTGGAGGGGGGGGGGGGGGGTGGAACGGAGGGGGTAGCTAGGAGGTTGGGGGTACTGGTAGCAAAAGGGGGGCGGGGGGGCAGAGTTTTTGTGTTGGTGCGAGTGGCAGTGACGTGAGCATGACGCGTCCCCGGGGACGCCCGGGGAAAGCCGGGTGCAGCGACCGGTTGGCACTGGCTGGCTCTGTGGCTTGTGCTGTGTACAAAACACGGCCTTGCCCTCCTCCTTCTTACTCCTCTTCTTATTCTCTTCCTCCTCCTCCTCGCGTGCCCGGGGGCCGCCGTGGCTTCGGCAACCAGTTCACGGGACATCGCTGCAGCGCTTGCGCGCCTGCAGAGCAGGGACACCTGCCGCTGCTTTTGCGAAGTGGCTCTAGTGGTGGTAGGCTTGTGCGCGCTTAACAACGCCTATTACAAAGGCTGCGAGCGTGCAGCTTGCAATGCGCGCACTTCAGCTGTTGCGTGTGCTGGTAAAATATTCGCATCACGGAACGGCCAGCCACCGCATCATTGCAACCACGCGCGATGAATAACGGCTCTTGCTTGCGGCGGCTCCTTCCAGAAGCAATGGAATTTCTCGACGTCCTGCTTCCAAAAAACGAAAAAAAAAAGGAAACAAAGAATTGAACCTTGTTTTGTTAACTCACACGTTGCAAATCAGATGAAGACCCCATTTAGTCATTAACTGCGTGACAATTACTTATGAGCTCATTGTAATTAGTGTTATTAATGGGGTATTGTACAGTTATTTTAACCTCGTAGCGAGCCACCTGTTGGCTTATCAAAGCATTGTCGGCCTCTTGCTGAGGAAAAAAACTTTTTGGCTTCACGAGGCTTACGGGGCGATTGATTTGTTGAGTTTTAACGTCCCAAAACCACCATATGATTATGAGACACGCCGTAGTGGAGGGCTCCGGAAATTACGACCTTACGGGACGGCTTTAAACCCTCCCATAGTAGAGTACCTAGCACTCTAAATCGTTACCCACTTTTTCTAAACACACAAACTTTATTTTGATGCGTTACAAACGGATACATCAAATAATAACTCGTGTGAGGGTGAAAATTTTAAAAAATTTTTGTTAAGACCAGACGCATCTAGTATTAGTTTCTAGTGGGGATTATCTACTACCAGGAGCTATCTCTCAATTCTGTTATACAATGCAGCATCCCATTCACCGTCCTTCACATCCTGTGCGGTGCGGTGCATTGAATGCTGCTTGTGTTTATCGCATCCCCGTTGAAAGTTTTGTTCCTTTTATATTAATGTCAGCACCTTGAACGGTTCACAATGCAATGACATCATTGTGCCTCTTAACCATATGATGCAGCGTTGTACTTTAGAGGGTAGCATTGCTTATATTACAAAGTCATGTAGCGCGTGAGACATTCCCCGAGTGACACCAGGAGAATTTGCGACACCTTCACGCACTGCAACCCAGAATTTCATATTGCAGTTCAGTGAGCCATTGCACCATGGACAACATTGCACAACGCGCACCTTTCATAACCTCCTGCACGTTCGCACCTATATTGACGGATTGACTGTCTTCGTGCAAACCTGGTGGCGAATATTATCGTATTCAGACTAATGATAATATACCTAGACGTTTTTCTTTTGCAAGTGAATCTCTAATACTGCGTTTAGAAAAGACATTAACGGTTTATGGTACTTGGTACTCTACAATGGGAGAGCATGAAGCCGTCCCGTAGGCTTCACACTTGACGAAGAGAAACCAATCGTCAAAGAAAACTGTGATGTGTTTAGAAAAAAAACGTTTAACAGTTTATAGCGCTAGGTATTCTATTATGGGAGAGCAGGAAGCCGTCCGAGTACTACGTAAAGATACTGCCATGAACATTACCGTCATACAAGGATGCAAAATGGGGCGTCTGTGACAACATCCTGCACCTTTGCCACGAATATGAGCAAAACCTGCTACGGCTCCATAGGAACCGTAGTAGCTAGCTCCAGATTTATTTTTTTCGCCAAAGTTTATCTCGTCCGTGGCCCCGCACAAACGAAGGCAAGGTTGGTTATTCTAGTTTTTGAAAGAAATCATCTCGTTCCCCCAATCTTGCCGCAGCAACCGATCCCAGCGTGCAGCTTTCCACTGCCTGCAGGGAGGCGACACGCTCGTAACGCCATCCAGTCCCAGCTTATGAGGGTTTATCCCCGGAGAGTCACCACAGCATCGCGTGGCAGGTGCCTGCTCGGGATGGCGAGGGAGCGGGGTTTGTTTCGCCCGTGCACGTGACGACCACATGGTCCCACCGGAGTGTACAACAAGAGCTTACGGCGCTGCACACGCAGCTTTTGCGCAGAGACAGGGCGGGAAGCCGAAGGCCAGCGGCGGTGTTGAGTTAGTGCAGCAGTTCTTCTCCCCCGGCTGCTGCTGCTTGCAGCAACAGCCGGGCGTGGCAAATACGAAAAACCAGAATCGAAGTAGCCTGCTGGCAAAAGGTTGCGGGTAGGGGAGGGGGGGTCGGCTGATGGAGAAGATGAGAGAAGGGTGGCAGAAGAAGAAGAAGACGAAGCCAGCGCACAGGTGCAACGTCTCTGGTGCTCGCGTCGTCGCTGTGACGAGGCGTCGTCGGGCTTTTCTACGGCCGAGGCCAAGACGAAGAAGAGGGGGACAAGTTTACACGTCGAGAGAGATCGGGGTTGCGGTGGGGAGATTGGGGGTGGGGGGCAGGCAACTGTTGCCTGTGGCGTGTACTCGGCGACCAGAAGGGGGGCAACACTGCCGCCCTCCCTAATGATTGCCCGTCGCCAACCGGTCCCTTGTGGGCCCGGGCGGATCCCAACCAACCAACGGGCGCCCTGAAATCACCGCTCAGCTGCGAGCTTGAGCGTGGTCGGCCGGCTGCCGTGATCAGCTGCTCAGGGAGGCAAGCGAGTGCGTTTTTCGAGAGCTCCGTGGGAAAGCAGTGTGGTTGGTTGCTCTGCGAGGGTTGGGTGCACGTGAGGCAAAAGATACACTGCAATTAAGGGGGTGCTTCGGGGGGATATCAGCCGCTGAAAAACAGTGCGCAATCTCAGTGCTATCTGAAGCTCGACAGAATTGCAGGACTGTAGCACTGCGGCAACGCAGATTCCTGCAACATAAGTACACTGCAGTTCTGCGAGCTTGGCTATATTTGATTTGATTTCATTTATTTTCTTTCACCTTCCCCGCGATCGTCAAACAAATAGCAGCCCTGTTGATTTCAACACAAGGCAATACGATAAGTGCAGTGTCATTGACGAACGCTAAGGGGGTCCTTCCTCTGGGGATACAAAAATAAAAGTGGCATTTACAATACGTTTGCTATTGTACGCACATTTCTAAGTCACAAGTTTCTTCGTTGAACATTTTATTAGCCGCGTGTGCGGAGCTTGGAATTGCAGATCTTGCTAAATTGCTGGTTAGTTTTTAACTGTTGATGAAAATAAAATGTATATGCAGACATCCATGTCCTAAAGAAAATGTATATGCAGACATCCATATCGGTGAATGGTCAATTGTGTGAAACACCTTTGATATTTTGTTAGCACTGCTTTTCAAATGCGTAATTTCTGCCCAAAAAAGTGCTCCTTTCACCATGGGTGCTTCCATATTTCTACCATACCAGCACATTTACTACAATATGCGTTTTAACGGCGTTCTTAGAAATGATAGCTGTTACAGCCCGAACAGCCTCTAGGACAACGATATTTCATGATTGGTGTTTTGCTTTATATTTTACAGATTCACGCAGACAGAAAGACAAGAGCTGTTCTTTCAAAGGAAGATGTGACGACGTGATTGGGCGGTCCCAGATGACAGGGAGGACACCGTACTGACAACCGTTGACTGACGTGAGTAACATCCGTCTTTTCAAATTCACGGGTAAAACAGATATTTTTCGAACCACAACGTTACAGCACTGTTTTTCAGTACAAAGTGCTGCGATAAATGAAATATCACGAGCTGTGATTTCATTCGCAATTGCTGTTTAGATCCCTGCATATGGAAACGCTACACCAAGCACACAGTGTTATCAGTTATTAAACACAAACATGTGCTAGGGGCAGTTCTTAGCATTGCGCACGACTTAGATTAATCACAATTAAACATTTTCATATGTTCGGCATGCGATTGCGAGAATGAGAATACAGACATCGGTGACATAGAACTAAATTGCTTTGTAAAAATACACCGGCGTCACATGTACTTATTGCACATGCATTACCATTATTTATGCGTCTAATTGTTGGATGATGTTAGCGTTTGGGGAAAATACACTCATGCTTACTTAGCCACTCGAAGTTTTGGTGCTAAATTTTCTAAAAAATTGCCTTCTAGTTTTGATCAACGTTGATATTTAAGATGCCGAATTATGGAACCATGTGACGTTTTTCTGTAAAATTCACAACAGAATCCTGATATTAACCCACCAATGTAGTCATGTGAGTGCGTAATGCAAACAATGCGTGATCAGACATTTGCCAACTTGTAAGAGCCTAGGTATAAGTCATATATATTCTACACCAAAAGCAGCTTACCCGCAAAACAATACGGCCTCCTTGTTCATCACAAATTGTGTAAAAATATTTTATGACAGCCTAATTTTTGTTTATTTACCGATATTCTTCATTCCAGGTCAGCGGAAAACATGGACTTTCCAGACAGGGCAAGTCATGCGAGCTCGCCTTTCCTGGTCTCAAAGCACCACAGGTGTTCATCCGCTCAGAGCCTCCTTACATCACCAATGTTCGATGAAAAACAATGTGCTTTTCTGCAAAAAAAAAAATTATACGGACGCCTCAGCTACCACATAAGCTCAAAGTTCCGTGACAGCTCACAAAAGGTGTGCTATAATTTGTATTGTGTTTCGTTATACTAGACCGGCTTACATGTCATATTACACACAGCAATACTGAACTTGAACAAAATGCCTGAAACCTTGCAATGTGATGGCACCGTTATCCAGGCGCTACAACTTCCTATCCACTTGATAAAACGCTTCTTGCGCTGTACAAGCATGTTGATTCCTAATCACGATTCATGCACTGTAATCGAAAATTTGTTCTAGTACTTCAACAGTACTTTATCTATGAATAACTACTTCAAACGGTCCCTTGCGAGAATATTTTCACGGTGACTGCATAGAGAAATAATCCTGCATCTATGTACCAACCTCCCCACAAGTGCACATGATGTACAGAGAGTTTTAGCTACGCCAAAAAAGAAGTTTGATTCGAAAAACTGCAACAAAAAGATGGTGCGTGTGCTTAGATGCAAGTGCACATTAAATAACTTAAGACACTGTAAAGACGTGTCTAGTAATTCATGCTACGGTTCAGGCTCCAATAGTGCTAGAATTTGGCTATATTGTTTGTTCAGGAATAGAAAGTTCTGGTAGATGCGGCGACTACGTTTCTGTAGCTCTCCTGATCAATATTTGTTTTTGTTTCTTTTGCTGCTGTGGGATATTCAGTTGGAACAAGCTCGCTTCTTCCTCTCTAATTTGACGAAGTTACGTAGGCAATGCAGACCTTCACAGAAGGATCTTTATTAAAGGAACATTACACAAATAAGACTTTGCAGGTGCATATATATGCTCTTACGGCGCAGCGTAGACGTCACTAGAGGTAACCTGGAGTTCATAGAGTCTGTTGCGAACTGCCATTTTTTTGAGGAGACGTCCCATCCGGATGACACAGAGTTATCATATTATCGAACGATCACTTACTTCTTTATTCTCATAAAGAAATACCGTGATCATTATGGGATATTACATGTATATAGAAATTTCATATTTACACATTTTCTCTATTTTTTGTTCTGATCAGTATTTTAATGTCTGTTATATTTACGCAATCGGAAGGGCAATGTTTTTTATTGAAAGTGTGTACAAATCCACAACGATCTCTGAGGCATACGCTAGAAGATGGTCCAGCCTTGACGAAGTGTTCTTAAGCGATTTCGTAGTTTGAGCGTATCCAATCACGTCCCATGTTTTAATGATTTTCTTCGCATGTTCAGAGGTAAAAGTTCAGCATTGCTGCCTCATCTTCTTTTAGCATTCATTTAGTACTGCTAGCCTGTATTTCAGTTCTTAAGCAGGAGTAGGTATTGTAGAGCGGATTATGAAGCAGTTCAAGATCAATTTCGCAATTAATAAGAAGAAAAATGGTAGTAATGAAGGAGTAGGAAAAACATTTAATTTAAGGATCAAACATGGGGTGTCAGAATGTCATGTACTGAGCCGTGAGAAATGTACAGGGTTGCTCAAAAGCTGCCCGACTGCGATGCCGTAGGATTACATGGTATAGCAGAGGGGAAGCTTCTGCACACCCCTGTATGGTGGATAATGCTATGGCCAACACCGATGATCTCACTACTTAAAAAGTACTGGTGCATCTAATATAAGTCTACATATAGAAAGGGATCGTGCCTATAACATTAAGAAATTACGCAACGCAAGTATAATTAAGTCATAAAATGTGTAACACAGACATGGTTTATAGAATGATCGAAACAAATACAGCAAAAGCATATGGGATACACCAGCCTTTAAAGCAATATATTTTTAGAGTGCAATAGAAAATATTAATAGCACAAAAAGATTCACGCTTCTTCGCGAGCAACATTAAGCGTGTGAAGTTAGTTAGGCTCAAGCTACTTTCGCTGACTACTTACTGTGGTCAGGTGTGACCATCTTCATGCGGTGTCTCCAACTTTGTGAAAACTCAATTTGTACAGCTATATATTCTTAATGAATTTCGAGAACATATATGAGAATACTCGCGAGAACTATTTTTTGTTTTCTAAGCGTATAGGTGACATATAAGCGTTATTAACTGCCAAAGTATTTTCCCGTTTGTTCTGTACTTATCGGCTGGTGCTGGTGGAAGGTGGTGATATGTAGAGTCTTTTTATGGGCTGCACAGGCGTTCACTCTGTATATCCCTCACACGTTATTGTCAATACGCCTGCTGCGTTCCTTGTTTTCTTTGTATTTTCTTGTTTCACTGTTAAAAACAGTAGACCAGATGTGCTGTCGAAAGCTGCGTAAGAGACTTGTTCTTATGTACCCCCAAACATAGAGTTTCCTAATATCCACTAGAGGGAACTCTGGCGCTAGTGTCTATGGGAGCTGCAACGCACGGCGCTTCACCGAGCCTGGAAGTGATGGGTAGCACCCACATTTGTCTAATTTTCGTACTTCTGGCCTGCTTCTGGCTTCGTGTGTGTACGTGTGGCTTAGAGCTGTTTTTTCACAAAAAAATAAATTAGCGAGTGTTCAGCGTTTGCTTTTCACAACCTTATCCTTTTAAGCTTGCCATTTTGAATCGGGTCGCAAAGTTCAAAAGGGTTGACTCTTTCTTTCAAAAGAATACCAAAACACAGCAATAAACGAAGCCGCACGTACGATTCACCGCCCGCAAGTACGAAGACTAGGCAAATGTGTGTACTGCCCATCATTCCCATGGTCGCTGAACGATCGCAGCGCCACAGTCCCCTCTAGTAAATTTTAGGAAACAATATGCCCCTAACAATGGGGCCAATAATTTGTTGCGCAGGTGACTTCTGGCGTCATAACACTTCTGCAATCGTTTACAACCTAAAAGCCCGATCACACGCACCCGCTGCACTTCTTGACGTGGCGCCGTGTCCTCTCCCTTATGGAGAGAGAGGGCGCGCAGTTTCGCGTAGCCACACTGCTGCTCTCTTGTGTGGCGCCGCGTCAAAACGCCTCGCGCTGACGCGCTCCCAACGGGTGCGTGTGGTCAGGCCTTGAGAATAAATGCAAGCTCCGCCCACAGGTGTCGCTACGTTTAGAAAGAGTGTTCAACGATTTTGAGCACTTCGTACTCAACTATGGGAGAGCAGTGAGCCGTCCCTAAAACGAAAAGATTACTCCACACTTTGTGTGTTTTAAATAAGTGTTTAACAATTTAGAGTACTTCTACTATGGAAGAAGATAATTACCACATTGCAGCGTCGTGAAGCCCTCTAGCATGTATTAGGTCTCTGATATGGTCATGCAGACACATGTTCGATTAGCTGGTTGTAGGTCGAATTCGTGAACTCCCTAGCAAGTTTCAACAAACATTGCCTATGTCACTCTCGGGAAAACGTAATATTTGAAACAGGGACAACGAACTTTCAAGGGGTGTGCTGCGCAGCTTTTGAATTAAGAGTGAAACAGTAGTTGAAGTGGTAGCAAAATCTGCATAACACGACTCTCTTGGACAGTTCTGGGTGCGGAGCTTTCATGGATTCGTAAGTTGTTACCGACTCGTTGACTGTGCACGCGTAGTTTCAAAGTGACAATAAGAATTTAAGATCGCGATATTTCAAGATTTCCAACCTCGGTAACTGTTAGGTGCGTACGGATTGTTCTGTTGATTTTTAAGTGCGAACTATAGAGGCAGTTCTGCACTAGCCCGTCCTCAAAAGTTATGCTTAGTTACTGAATGTAGAGTGGGTAAACTTGAACAGTCATTGAGCAATGATTGCAAATAGGATGTTGAGCCATTTATTGCCATGAACCTGATTTCTGCTCTGATATCCAGGGATGTCTAAACGATTGGTTTGTTTACTGTTACTGCACGTAAAAATGTGTCTTGTTGCCGATATGAACTAGCACATGCACTCTCACTTCATCAGTGACTTGAGAAAGATCTCTCGAAACACATTGAAATGTGAAATATTTCCGTCGGGTCCTCCAGAATAACATTTCCCTTCTAATTCTGCATAATTATGGCTTGAAAACATAATGATTGTTTAGCTCATTCCTAAAACAATCTGAAGTCACTTCTTCGTCAGCGTGACATTTTTGAGACCGCATTGCTTGCTTGATTCTTTCAATCTGGCAATATGCGGTCGACATTGGCTACTGCAGATGGCTTTGTTTGGCTTACTATTGTTTTCATTAGTGTGGCCTCGCCCGATGTTGCTTGCGTGTGCTAAAAAAAAAAGAAAACTTCGTTGATTTTTTATGGTTGTACATCCTTGAATGTTGATTTACCAGGTATAAGAAAGATCTTGTTTTTATGTTATCTCGCTATGTGGTTTAACATCTCGTCGTACCGTGCAGCGCTCGCTGACTTGAATGTGATACCGCATGCATCATACTTCATACGATAAATATTATTATTCATCGACAATATTCATACATTGTTTGCCATCATCGTACTCGAATCTTGGGAATTTGTGTTTTCATATTGTACTGGTGGAGAGATTTTCTTGCGCGTTATTGTTCCGGTGACGATTTGAAGCGCATGCATGTACTCCGAGTGTATTGCGCTATTGTATGTATAGAGGTGTTGAGTTTGACTTCCTGTCGTAAAAAAACAATAAAAACTGATTAACCTATGATGTTGTGCTTTGCGCCTTCTGTAAGATTACCTGGGTCGTCACTTTCAATCAATATGTCGTGTTACTCAGTATCTATAAATGGAGAATGTATGAAGGCAGAGCAAATAATTTGTTGTCTCTGCTCACAAGAACGTATTACGCAGGAATTATTTATTATTACTTTGAGAAGCACTGTACACATCTCTGCACACGAGTTGTTTTTGCTAGTTGCATCGACTAGCGGCTGATGAAGAGCAAGATGCATTGAAGTTTGGATGAACGGAACCTGCTAGCACGTCTTCCTTTCACTCAATTTTACTTTTACACATGATCACTTTGCTCAGTAACATGTTCGACATTCCACTTTCCGCAAACAACATTCAAAGTACAATTGCTCTCCATTCTCAATCAACATGTTTTACAAGACTGCGCTTTATTTCAAGCTTGAAATTTGATTCCATTTATACAGAAGCATGACGTCTTCAGATTAAGATGACACTGAATGTTACTCTAAAACACATGAATTATCGTATTGTGGCATATTCTGTTGCATTGAAATAATCAATGCTGCGAAATACTGTTCGAATTGTTTCTCTTGCAGACGGACCTTCATAGGCCACGTCTCGTCTCTAAGGGTTACAAAAAATTTCAACCCATTAAAGCCAACCCGAGTGTTAGGCTCATTATCAGTGTAGTCGGTTTACAAGTGGCAGTGGCTACATTCAGGTGGTAATTTTCGTGAATTCGGTTCTGACGTCCTTGGCTCGTGGGCAGTCAGAAATTGCTGATCGGATCATTCATACATAATTCAATCATTTCGTGATTAGGGAAATGTGCAAGAGTATGTCAGCTTTCAGGTATCCCATCCCAAGCGGTTGCTCTTAAAGCAGGGGTGCAACAGCTGCGCCAAAATGTCTAACGAGCCTGAAAATTTTCTCAGTTGCACAAACTTCAGCGAGAATTGTGCGACTATGCAATATACTCAAGTCAAATGGAGGCTATGTTGGCCCCTGTAGTTTTAGTCAACGTTAGTTTTACGTCATCAATAAATCCAGGGATCAAGGCGCGCTCAACTTCAGCTTAAACCCTGGCGTACACAAAAGCGGACCAAGTCTGTACAAATGGTCAAATGTGTGTGTTTGGAACAAGTGTTCGAAGATTTAGAGTGCGATGTACTCCACTATAAGAGAGCAGTAAGCTGGCCCGGCACGTATAGATTATGAGTTGAGGAGGATTCCAGGAAGACGGAGAGTGCCGTGCTTAGCAATGGTGTTTAACAATTTTGAGTACTTCGTACTCAACTATGGGAGAGCAGTCAGCCGCGTTTAGAAAAAGTGGTCAACAATTTCAAGTACTAGGTACTCTAATAAAGAAGAGCATAAAGCCGTCCCGGGGACTTCCCACTTCGTGAGGCCCTGTTGCACGCAGACTGTAAAAGGAAGGCGTTTAGAGAAAATTTCTTAAAAATGGAATGTTTAGAGAAAATTTCTTAAAGATTTCTCGGCAATGCAGCGAAGGCTACAGGGCAGAACTGTGCCTATCCTACTGCTGTAAAATGTATCCCTACATTTGTGTCCTTATCTTTGAAGTGAGATATGAAAAATACTGCCTTAATTTTTGCATGTTCCTCTTTGACACAGGGCGCAGTGGACACCAATAAAATATTCATGGATGTTTTATTTTCTTTGTCGCCACTCCGCATTTTGAACTCGTGAGAAAGCCGGACCTTTTACGTGGAACCTCGAACTCCAAGCAGCGTCTGCGTCGATATAAAACACTGGTCACCCACAGCGTTTCATATCGTTTCATATCGTTTCACAGCTAGAGCTGTGCGCCGCCGTGCCACGCCGCCGCCAAAGTTCTGAGAGAGACCACGCCGCCGCCGCTCAATAATTGCGGTGCGTCGCCATTTGTCTTATTTTAACCCGAGAAAGAAATGTTGGCCTGAAATAGATGATTTGACCATCTTTTCTGTAGCTTTAGAATTTCTTGAATACGGAGTTTGCGGTGTCTTGACTGTTCTCTTGTGTCCGTGTTTGCAAGCCCTGTATATATAATGACCCTAAAAAAACTTTTGCAGATACCCAATAGGGCGTGTTATTCTTATTGACGCCAGAACGGTGATTAACGTGACATGATCAGCGCACATACTCTCGAATGGCCCGTATACGAGAATTACCCGTTCTGAATTGTTGTATACTCTGCTTTCCACAAGCTCGATATTCTGATAGGCTCAATGCTTAGCGCTCACTTTACACATGGGCTTTATAAATACATATATGTCGAAAATATATAGCCTATAAAATTATAGTGTAGGGAGTGTAGTGGAGTGCAACGGAGAACAAAACCAAAGAAAGAGGCTCCTGATTATTTCATTCTCCTAATGGATGAATTCTGTACTGCGAAGACGACCCAGATCTCCACATGGAAAGGCAAGCCTGCTCCGACGGTTTTCGTACATTTTTCCATTGTGAGAAGAATCATATTGCCGCGATATATTGGCCGCATTCAAATTGAGCGCCCTTCGCCGTACCGCACAGAGGCCAAGGTAGCACGAGCAACTGGCCAGACCCAGCCCGCATGCGTCTCGCTCTCGGGCTTCTGGTGAAATAAAGGAAGACGCTCTCTGGGATTTCTGTGTGCTTCGACGCACTCGCAGTTTTCTCACAGTTGCCTTAACTTGTGGGCACAAGCTCGCCCTAATAAATAAGTTTTTTTAATAGCCCATGTGCTTCAGTATTACGACATTCCTAGTGGAGGATCCGGGGTATGAATCAAAGTCCCAGATACGGAAGACAGCGTAGCCCCGACCATCAGCGAGTCGATACTGTGGAGCTGACACCTGTGCACCAGAGGGCCAAACGTCGTCTTCGAGGTTACTCGCCCGAGTTTTGTCCCTCTTCACTTCACCCCAAGAGGAACTCAGACTATGGACGCTGCTACCGCGACAACTCAGGTAACACTGGCGCCCGTGGTGATCAAGCAGCCTCACCAGCCGCTGGTATTCCATGGCAACTCGTATGAAGACGTCGATGA